ATGATTCAGGTGTAGGTTTGGAGTTGGATTAAAGGATTTACGGTCTTTCTGAGAACTATAATTCTGCAACAATAATGGAATAGCTCTATGGCATAATTAAAAACAAACAAACAAAAAACAACCCTCACACTTTATCACAACATTTTCTACATTAGCACAAGCTTCCCATTTCAGCTTCCCCCTGGAGTTTTTAAATCTAAAAAGATTGAAATTTTCAATCTAAATCCCTTCCCCATTTTCATTTTATTTTTTTTATTTTGCTGTTGTCTTTTTTAGAAAGAAAAGTGTGGTTGTGTGGATTCTCTCTTACTCCTTCCAAATAAGAACATACTTTCTTTTACTGAAATTAGATCCCCATTCATTGCTTTGGCACACTCTGAGCTGTCTCCTCCAGAGGGCTTGGGGCCTGTTAGATGGTGCACAGTTGGAAATTGGTGGCATTGAGTCTTTGCCAAGGCTGGCAGACCTTTAAGATGGCATCTGGTGACCTTTTTGCTGAGCCTCCTGGGTCCTCCATTTGAGATTTTATGTTCTCAGCAGGGGTGTAATCCAAATCAAATGTGAGATCTGGTGAGTCTGAGTTGCGTTGGAGGTGGGGGCAATGGGGACCCCTACATTTCTTTGGGCAGAGGAAGCTACTATATCGCTTTGCAATGTTTCTCTCTAACCCTGAGACTCTGAGCCCTAATAGAGGGTGGCACTAAAATGCTGGTTTGCAGGAAAAGCCCAGTGTGAGAGAAGGAACAATTGGACAGCTTTCTTCACATTTATTTATCATCCAGCAACACAATAATCCTCTCTACTTGCTCTAGTTTCTGGATGACACTAAACTCCAAGGCAACCCTGGGCCCCAGCAGCTTAGGTCAGAAGTACATATGTGAGTGCTAGCTGTGTTTTGCTTCCAAGATAGTATTTTTTCTTTTGCAATGACATATTTCTAGTAATGTAGGTAGATAGCACACAAGCATAGAATAAGGAACTATGAGTTTGTGAACAACTTAACAACCAATGTATGTTGACGAATTGTTTGTGCTAACGATAGACACATGCCGTTTCTCAGCTAGGGAGTCATTTTCATGATAATTTTTAAAGTGCTATGTTTTTTTTGGTTTTTTTAGCAGCTTTTACTTTGAACAGATTTAACAGGTTATTTTTGGTTTTACATCTACTTGGGGCTGTTTTAACAGACAGTGAGACACATCTCACATTTCTCAGGCAATTCTGCCCTGAGACTGCCCACTAAAGGATTTTTTTTTTTTTATGGTAAATATATATGTAACATTACATTTGCTATTTCACCAGTCTTCACTTGTATCATTCGATGACGTTAACTGTATTCATCATGTTGTGCAACCATCACCATTATCCACCTCCACTAAAGGATTTTAAGGTAATTGAAGGACTCCCTGAGTGGCATCATTACTTAATATGCTCAACTACTAACCAAAACGTTGGAGGTTTGAGTTCATCCAGAAGCACCTTGGAAGAAAAGTCTGGCAATCTGCTTCTGAATAAATCAGCCACTGGAAACGCCATGGACCATTTAAATCAACAAGTATTGGAGCAGATGCTTTATACTCAGATAAAGTGTTGCTGCTTTTAGATGCCATTGAGTCAGTTACCACTCATAACCACGCTATGTACAACAGAAAAAAACATTATTTATTCCAGCACCATCCTCACAATTAGTGCTATGTTTGAGCCCACTGTTGCAGCCACTGTGTCGATCCTTCTTGTTGAAGGCCTTCCTCTTTTTCTCTGACCCTCTACTTTATACAGCATGATATCTTTCTCCAAAGACCAGTCCTTCCTGATAACATGTCCAAAATATGTAGATGAAGTCTTGCAGTCCTCACTTCTAAGGAACATTCTGGCTGTGACTCTTCCAAGAAACATTTGTTCATTCTTCTGGCAAGCCATGGTATATTAAATATTCTCCACCAACACTATAACTCAAATGCACCAGTTCTTCTTTGGCCTTCCATATTCATTGTCCAAGTAGCTTTTGCGGTGCTGTGGCTAAAACACAGGGCTGCTAACATAAAAGTTGGCAGTTCGAACCTAGCAGCACTCCACAGAAGAAAGATGAGGTAGTTTTCTTCCATAAAGATTCATTTCCTTGGAAACCTTATGGGGAAAAATCTAATCTAATCTAATCTGTCCTGTATGGTTGCTATGAGTCAGAATCAATTTGATGACAGTGGGTTTGGGTTTTTTGGTTTATTCATCACCCAGCTTTCACATACCTTAAGAATACCATGCCTTGGATCAGGTGCACCTTAGTCCTTAAAGTGACATCTTTGGTTTTTAGCACTTTAAAGAGGACTTTTGCAGCAGATTTGCCCAATGCAGTAGATTGTTTGATTTCTTGACTGCTACTTCCATGGATGTTGATTGTGGATCCAAGTAAAATTAAATCCTTGACAACTTCAGTCTTATCATAATGTTGCTTATTGGTCCAGTTGTTTTCTTTATGTTAAGTAAGGTGTAATCCATACTGAAGGCTGTAGTCTTTGATCTTCATCAGTAAATGCTTTAAGTCCTCTTCACTTTCATCAAACAAGGTTGTGTCACCTCTATATCATATATGAGATTTCCTCCAATTCTTATGACACATTCTTCTTCATATAACCTATCTTCTTGGATTATTTGCTCAGCATAGATATTGAAAAAGTATCTTGAAAGAGTAACCCTGATGGATATCTTTCCTGATTTTACACCATGCAGTATCCCCTTGTTCTATTTGAACAACTGCCTCTTGGTCTATGTATTGTTCTGAATGAACACAATTAAGTGTTCTGGAATTCTCATTCTTTGCAATGACTTCCATAATTATGTATGATAGATATTGAATCTAGAAGGAAATATGGCAGAGATAAATAAATATATTTGGGTAGTAAATCCCAAAGCATTTTATTATATTATATCATATCATACAAAATGAATATTCCAAATTTTCTATATGAGAAAATATTATTTTAAAATAAAAAATTTCAAGAAGTTATGCTTCATGTCTAGAAAGAATTCTATAAATGTTAGCTTTTATTATTGGTACAGTGGAAAAGATCCATTTTAAAGCATGTTATATTATCTGATTAGGAAAGGTATGTGTTAGGGCTATACCCATTCAGGATACTTATTCAATCTGTATGCTAAGCACATAATCCAAGAAGACAGACTATATGAAAAAGAATGTGTCATCAGGATTAGAGGAAGACTCGTGTGATATGCAGATGACACAGCTTGCCTGCTGAAAGTGAGGAGTTATTGAAACACATGCTGATGAAGATTAAAGACTACAGCCTTCAGTATGCATTACACTTTTTTTTAACATGAAGAAAACAACTGGACATTTAAGCAATGTCATGATAAATTAGAAAAGATTGAAACTGTCAAGGATTTAATTTTACTTGGATCCACAAGCAACACCCATGGAAATAGCAGTCAAGAAATTAAACAGCACATTGCATTGGCAAATCTCCTGAAAAAAAAAAAAAAACTTTTTCAATTAGTGTTAAAAAGCAAAAAAAAAAAAGTCACTTTAAAGACTAAGATGCACTTGACTGAAGCCATGGTATTTTCAATCACCTCATGTGCTTTTGTAAGCTAAACAATGAATAAAGAAGATGATGAAGAATTGATGCATTTGAATTATGGTGTTGGTGAAGAATATTGAAAATACCAGGGACTTCCACAAGAACAAACAAATGTCTCTTGGAATAAATACAGTCAGAATTCTCCTTAGAAGTAAGAATAATGAGACTTCATCTACATACGTTGGACGTGTTATCAGGAGGGACTAGTCCCTGGAGAAAGAAACCATGCTCTTTAGAACAGGTAGAAGGTCAGTGAAAAAAATCAACACCTTCAATGAGATGAATTGACACAGTGGCTACAACAATGGACTCAGACATTAGTAACAATTGTGAAGATGGTGCAGGACTGAGTAGTGTTCTATTTTACATAGGGTTGCTGAGTCAAAGCCTACTTGATTACACTTAATAAAATAACAACAACATCATTACATGTAAGCACAAACATTACATATATAGGTTTTACATAGCTGAGACAATCATAGTTTTTATTTATTTTTATAATGTCATTTTATTGTGTCACTAAAATTATTAGTAACTACCTTAATGACTCCAAAACATCCTATCATATGAACGTAAAATAAGATATCCAGTCAATGAAGTTATCATTAAGCATTTAGAGTTTCATTCTCAGGGGTTCACTTAATAAATCAAACAATGTGAACAACTTCCTGACTCTTAATATGTCTTATCAGGTCACCTCCTATAAGAATTATATCTATTGATGTGACCATCAGCACTTTAAAAAAAAAAAAAATTGGCTATGTATAAATATTGCCTTGTTATTGCTTTGATTTATAAGTCTTTAGTTCTTAAGAAAGCTGAACAATTTTTAGAATTTTCGTTACCATTTGTATTTCTCTAAATCACTGCTAGGGAGGATTTCTTTGTCTGTTTTTCTTTCCTTTGTTTAATATTCAACCTAAATGAAGGACTGGTAAGAGGATAAATTGTGAAGATGAGACAACTGGGGAGAGACAGAACAGAACTGGGACTGGAAGTTTACCTCAATTTTCTTCCTTTTCTAGTTAAAAAAAAGAAAAGAAAAAAATTAGCATAACTATAAATACTTGTTAGACTCGTTATTAAGAAAAGTGATAGCTGTTAGAATTTGTTCTGGATCCTGCCTATTACCTATAGTAGGAACTTTGAAACAGATGAATAGATTGATTATCTTTATGAGTATGAGGAAGAGGGAAAGGAAAAGATAAACCCTAAGAAGATAATAACATGGCTTCTCCATGACAAATGATCCACAGACAAATAACCAATGTTTACTTCCACATTCCACCATGCTGAGTTACCTCTGCTCACACCGCCAGAGTAACACCTTCCTTTTCTCAGACTAGACCAGTGCAGGCATAGTCTACTTTGTGAGTAACAAAGTGCAAAACTGTTTCTTCACAGCAAGGAGAATGAAAACATAAATGAAACTCAAACAGCACTCCAGAAATCAGTGACTGATGATGCAAAGCAGATGAACAGAGAGCCCCCAGCTCCCATGAACCCTACTGCTCAGCAAGTCAAATGTAACCCAGATGGCATGAATGAGAGCAAGGACCTAGAGAGCAACAAAAAAACCAGCCTAACAGGAGCACACAATACCAGATTACTGGACGGCAAAGTGAGTAACAAGAAGTACTGCAGCTTTTCTTGGTAATTTGCTACGAAAATTCAATTAGGATGTAAATGTAAGCTTACACACACACAGGATTTTACAAATGATAATGGATATATTCTTCAGGAAATAGAAATTATAATCACTTGGTTTCCAATCTGAAAATTTATTTTGATATTTTTTTGTATATTGTTGCTTTATTGACCACCAGTTCAGTTGACCAATTCATTCTACCCATGGCTACTTCACTGTTGAAAAAATAACTCAGTGATACAATGAGATGTCACTGCACCTGCAAATTTGGAATGGGTTTAGGGAGTTTGTCTACTTTAATATTATAGGATGAGATAATTCACTTTCAAAATCTAATATAACCATGTCTAGACATTAGAAAATTTCAGCCCCAAACTCTCTTGAAAGAGATAACTATCATTCATTGTATTAGGAATCAACCACACAATCCACAACAAACTAATTTTATAATGATTAATTCTCAATGATTAGTAATTTGTAATTAAAAAGCAATAATAGCAGCAAATGGAAACTAGATCCAAATCAAGACAAAACTAATGATTCATTGATAATAAAGTATCATTTCCAAAAATTGCTGAAACTGCAATTAAATAGATACATAAAATATTTGTTTTGCAGTGTTGCCAGGCATGACATGACAGCCAGATATTTCAACAGAATACTGAATTAGTGTATGCAGTCAACTCTAACATAACTATTTTTAGTTTATGATTTTAATAGCCCTTACTAAATCACTCAGATACTACCTAGCCTTTAGTCATATGAGAAAATGAAAGCCTTTGATTTGTGATCTTTTGCCCATAAGAGTTATGGAAAAGCTCAAAATTTTGGAGGAATTGGAAACTCAGTAATGAATCTCACACTATACTCTGCAAGGTCTAATTGAACCCTGAGGTCTAGAAATAAAAGAGACTTTCCCAATGTACTAGTGGTACAGCCTATGCTGGAACTTGGACTTCTTAATCCAAAGTGTTTTGGCTTCCCCTAATGAATCCTTGATTTTAGAGTCTGGTCAGAACAGGAGATAATTATACAGCAGAAGTGAAATTTAATCTATTGTGAACTTCTAAAGATTCTGAGAGGTTGTTTTTTTTTTTTTTAATTTTGACCTGATATTAATATAATTTTCTTGTTGTTGCTCTTCCAGGATGGCCTTGGTAATAACATTATAGTTATAAAGCATTTTATTATTGAGTAATTGCTTTCAGATAAGTATCATCATTTAGTCCTTGAAATAAACTCTGTGAAGTGGATGCCATTGCTATTTCTATTACTATTTTACAGATGATTAAAGTGATTCAAAAAGGTGGCCATAAGATGCTTACTCTGGGTTTCTTTCTCCCCCACCCCTTCTTTACTTTTTTATTGTAGTGATCTTTCTAATTATAGAACAATATATAACCCTGTAGAAATTTTGGAAAATGAAGGAGAATATAAATAAGGAAGCAGTAAAACTACACTAAAAAAAAAAAAAAAAAAAACCAAACTGTTAACATAGGGTTCATTTTCTTCCCTTCTTTTTTTCATGCATAGAATGAGAAGAAATACATACAGAATGAGAATCATTATGTATATACCCTTTGAATTCCTACTCAATTCAATTCACATCAATAATCCCCCATCCTTGGCATTAGAAAAGTCCTAAGTATCATCTTTAATGGTTCTGTGAGCTAACACTCACACTCAGAGCTAACACTTAAATAGCATTTACTATGTGCCAGACATTTTTCTAAGCACTTTACATATCTTAACTAATAAACTACTCCCAAGCACCCAATGAAGTAAGAACTGTATTATCTTCCATTCATGGATAAAGGAACTGAGAAACAGGAAGGTCAAATGCCTTGCCCAGGTCATAAGGCTAGGAAGTGGTAGAGCCACAAATTAAGCCAGGATCTAGGTCCTAAATCACAAAACTGTATTCATTCCTTTATTTGGATATAGCATGGTTCATTTAACAAATCCCTTATTTTCTCTTATAAATAGAAATCTGTTTCTTCACACTCTTTCAACCACATCAAGCTGCCCATTACTGCCACGGACTCCGCCATTATAATAGATAGCATGTTTGTTCCACTCATTATAATGGGTAGCATGCTCATTGGATAAGGTATTCTTGGACCTCCATGACAGAATTGGCTTCTGTGCTAGCTCTGTGGTTCCATGGGGAGATGATTTATCCCTCCCCTCCCAGAACTCAACAGGGTTTCTTATGGGAGTCTCAGCAGGACTAACACCCAGCTACCAAACACAGGAAAGCCTCGTGGGAGGTGTGGGGACTGACTAATTTGTTCTGTCTGCTGGTGTATGGTGCCTGCCTGCCAGATGGCAGCCACAGTTGCCTGGGACAGAGACCCTCATTACCACCTTGACTAAGTGGTAAATGGAATCCTGCTGCAGTTAAAGAAGAAAAGAATCAGAGCTCCTTCTAGATCCTTATCCCTCAGAGATAGATGAAAATAAGCTTTCCTGCCTGGGTCATAACAGGCAATCTAGAAGGCCCTTGTTTGTTCCCAAAAGGAGGTCACTAGTAAAGTTTGAACTAATATAGGTGAGAATGCTATGTGTGAAACTCTTCCAAATTACAGATTAAATTTGAAGAGCATGATTAGTAGGAGATAAGTAGAGCTGAAAATGTTAAGAGAATCAATTATTTCATTATAGGAGAACAGTAAGAGATCTTAGAAATCAACAAGTACAAACCTTGTACTTGTTGATGAGAGCTTAAGTGATCTGCCCATGGTCCCCCACCCCCACACACACAAAGACCTTGACTCTTCCGAGTGCCAACCCTAAAATCTTTTTACCTCTCAAGTACACTAATTAAGGGTAAGTTTTTGAAAATACATATATTGTTTATATTGTTTCCCAGAACCATCAGCTCTGCCTTCTCTTAGAAAATAGAAAAGAATGTGTGACTGGCAACAAACTCAGTAGCACATTTTCAAAAATAAAATTAGAGTGTGCTTTTTGCAGCTGGCAGCATGAAAATGAACATTTTAGTGCTTTAATTTTAATCACTATCACAGCTGATTGACACAATATGTTCTTTTTAAAGCCCTTTGGTGCACTTGTTGTTCTCCATAGTAGCCCTGAGAAGTAGTTGGAGGCATATATTATCCCCATTTTATAGATGAATAGATGTCAAGGACATTTCCACTTGATGTGCACTGGCAATTCAGATTCAATATGTTCAAAGCAGAATCTTGATTTTTCTCTTCTTCCTGTGGTCTGTGTCTCACTGAGTGACTCCACCACTCTCCTAGTTGCATCAGAAAGAAATGTTTCTCTCCCTAATTCTGATATCCAATCAATCAGTCCTTTAAATTCTCCCTCCTTCCTGTCTCTTACAATGTTCTTTTCTGGTGATTGATTTATGGCATTGACAACATGAGGATCTCCCCAGTGAAAGTGGTCATAACTATAAGAAAACAAACATGTAAGCCTCTGGAAATGATCCTGCAGTCGAACAGTAAATGAAGAAACAACTATTCAGGAACACCTATGAAAATCAGTAAGCAAGATGAGAATCTACGGTATTTGAACCAATCTGCTTCCTCCCTCCCTGCTCCCAGATCAGTGATGTGGAACCTCCATTCCAGACTGCTGCAGCCAAGAACACAGAAGCAGGATGTCAGCACTTATCATGCCCCCTGCTACCTGATGCTGAGGCCAAATCCCCTTAGAATGTGATGGAGAGATTTTTTCCGCACAGCCCACTGCCGCCCACTCATTTAATGGAGCCTCTACTTGAGTGCAGCATGCTGAGAATACTAGGGCCCTGAACACTATTGCACTAGCTAGTGAAGTGGTGGTGCAAAGCCAGGGGATACAAGCCAAGAGGACCCTAAACTCTGCCCTCCACCATGCCCCCCACCAGGTGCTCAGCTACTGGAGTAGCAGGGAATGACATTGAGAAAGAAGCTTGCCATTGTCACAACCTCCATGTCTAGAGCCATGGCTCAGAGATTGTGCCTGGGCAGAGAAAAGGCAATAAAACAGATTGCTCGTAAGGTCTTCCTGAAAGAGTTGATCAAGCCCGAAAACTCTTAAGAATAGTGGAAGTCATGGTGAAAAGTATATGTGAGGAGAGGAGAGAACCAGGGAATGAAAAAGCTGAGAGGAGCCCTCTTGTGACCAGAACAGAAATCCAACACTGACCTCAGTTTATAGAGCAATTTATGCATACAATAGAACAATCAGCTGACAATTAGTAAAACTTAACAACTGAGTGTGGTTAGGAAAATAATAAAAGGGAACCCTTCCAAAGCCACTGGGAACTCTGGTAGCGTAGTGCCTAAGGCACTCAACTGCTAACCAGAAGGCTGGTGGTTCAAACCCACCAGCCACTCCTTGGAAAGATTGGGCAATCTACTTCTGTAGTGATATTGCTTCGGAAACCCAAGGAGGGGTCGCTATGAGTCGGGTCTGACTCGACAGCCCAGAACAATAACAACACCAAAGCCGCTGTCATCACTGGGTGATGCATCTCCCCTAGGAGCTATATCAGAAGTTGAACGTGTACCCAAAAATCCATTGCCTAGAGTCAATTTAAAATCATAGCATATGATTAAAGGACAGCGTAGAACTTCCACATAGACTTTCCAAGGCTGTAATCTTTACAGAAGCAAGCTGCCACCATTTTCTCCCATGGAGCAGCTATGAGTTCAACTGCCGACCTTTCAGTTAGCAGCTGAGTGCTTAATCACTGCATCACCAGGGATCTTTGAGGTTGAACACCCAAAATCAAAACCAAACCCACTGGTGATGTGTTAATTCCAATTTATAGTAACCCTAAAGGACAGAGTAGAACTGCTCCCATAGGATTTCCAAGGCTGTAAATTTTTAAAGAAGCAGATTGCCTCATTTTTAATCCCACGGAGCTGCTTGTGTGTTCAAACCACAGACTTTTCAGTGAGCAGCCAAGCTCTTTAACCACTGCACCACCAGGGGTCCTTGAGGTTGAACACAA